TATTCTATTCTATTTTATTCTATTCTATTTTATTCTATTTTATTTTATTCTATTCTATTCTATTCTATTTTATTCTATTCTATTCTATTCTATTCTATTCTATTCTAACCAACTACCAGCAAGGAGAATGTACAAGAAAAATGTGCCAGACGTGGTCTGAACACCAACTTGTGTTTACAAGTTATTCACATGTATGTTGTTAGAATAGTGACCAGCTTTATGCACACATCACGCTTCACTTTAAACACTCCAGTCTTAAAGATCAATCAGTCACAGAGTAGGAGGAGCCTCACCCTAACCCTGGCCTCGAGAGAAAGGCGCTAACACGGCGCTAACACCTGTGCATGCTGTTCCCCACAGAGCACAGCTGCAGGTGTACTCACACTGAACCCCGTGTACACTTGCTTTAGAAAACTGGCAGCAACATTGGGCTGATTCTTTTACAGAAGTAATAATAATTAAAGAAGTTGGACAGAGCTGCCATTTCAATTCAAATGTTGAAAAACGTTTCATTTGGCTCTAAGCAGTAGTGCTTCGTGGTCTTATAGTGCAGTGTTTCTGGTTCAGTTCTTTATTGCTTACATTTTAAACTCAGGCTATGTAACGTTGGTACATATACGGGTTCATTACTGAAGGGGCTGCAGACCACCGTGACTGATAACTGCTGACGACCTTTACATGAGCGTATAACAGCAATAGTAATGCAGAACAAGCTATTTATACTTACTGGTAATCAAAGGATCCATCCTGGTCTTTTTGATCCACCGCGTCCAAGGGGAGATCTTTTTTATCTCGCACTGCAGAGGAAGAGAACAAAGGTGTTAGGCTGTTCGATTCAACAGAAACCAGACAGGTTTTCAGGGTTTATGTTGAAAATACAATCATTTAGTTAGTCCCATCTGCTGATTTAGTTGTTTTCAGTTGTCACATACTAAGTTGACACTGTGTATAGAGTGTATGAATAACGAGTGTGGGCTGTGTCCTGTCTGTTCACTCAAAGGCTTTGTTCAGTTGCTGCCAATTAAAAAAGATGTGTTCAAGTCATTTAGTGGCATTTCTTCAGGCCGAGTGAAACATGCATTTGGGACACATTTATGTGAAGGGACAGTCAAGCCTGTTTTAGTAGCAGTTGCATTATGTTGGGTTTGTAGAGAGAGGATCAGGGCCGCTGGGGAAAAGGTTTCTTTCTTTTCCCAGTGGCCCTGATCTTCTTCAGCAGCTTTGTGAGTCGGTCAGATTTGTTAAAGACGTTTAGTTTTAGTTCCACATGCTGACTGAAGGCTTGTCAGTCTCTTTATTGGTCACTGGTCTGTTATATTAGTTCATCACTGAGTCAGCACCTACCCAGAGCCTTTGTGAAACAGCTCGTGTAGCCACCACCTGGACATTACAAAAACTGTAAAACATTAACAATACTCTAATTTAAGTCATTCATGACCAGTACGTTATATACACAACACAGCAATCCAGCTAAATGCTGTAAAACGTCTAAACCCTGATTTTAAATTCTGAGTTCATCATATTTGTCATGTCTGTTTCCATCGTGTTCATGCACACAGCAGCTGGCTGCTCCCTGACTGATCAGCTGGAGTCAGGCTGCGACGCTCTTATTGGAGCTTTTCTATCCACAGGCTGCAAAGAGAAATCTACAAACCCCTCACAGCAGATATTCATCGCTCTTCATTTCCTCCTGTTTCCAAAGGTTTGTTGTTGTTCCTTCATAAACTGCTTAAAACAAATAAGTTGTGTAAAGCTCAGTATTGAACCTCTCAGCGGGGCAAAAGTAGATGTAAGGAATCATCTTTATCATCATCTCAGAGTGAGGAACAAATGGAAAGCTGGCTTTAACACTCACTGACCGCTCTTCCTCCATACTGTGCTGAAAGATATCCAAGAAGACGACTTCAGTCACCTCGTGTTATCTGGTCCAGAGACCCCGTCTGAAACCACCATGACTGCCCATTTTCACTTATCACAAGAAATATTTAAATAAAAAGACGAGTGTGCTCTCCTTTCTTTAAAAAAGTGCATGACAATATTGTTGTCACAGGTAAACACATGAGTTCACAGCGCCTGGTGCCCCTCGCCCTCTGATAACAGCAGTCTGTTCTTCCTCTCGTCATAGCTGCTTCAATCAAACAATATTTATTTAGACTTTAAGCCAATGAAGAGCACATATTTACAATCCACAGCAAAAAAAGATCGATCAGGTATTGTTTTCTTCTACACACACGAGTCTGTTTGTGTTGCTCAGAAATCCCTTTGTGTTAGTGCACCAGCACAGAAACACAAGCCCAGCCACAGTCCTGGGAAACAGACTGTATGTGGAAGCAGACAGCTCCACACTGCCAGTCCTTGAATTCAGTGGACAGACGGAAAAAGTTGAGGTGGTAGTTGAGTGGCCATCAGGAAACACGCTGAACGTCTGCATGAGATGCATCGTCGCCTGGTCACCAGAGGAGCTACAAGAACAGACCTCTGCTACGGTGCAACACAGCAAAGTAAGACTAGCTTACGTTCGCTCAAAGCAAAGTTTCCTTTCAGGCTCACTGCTTGTTGTGTTTTGAAGGTTTCATTTCACTACAACACACAGAGCTGCTTCTTGAACCCAGACGCAGAAAAGACTCTGCTGATGAAACCTCAACAACATCCTTCCACCCAGACGTGTAATGGCGTGAGGCGTGGCAGATCAGTAACTAGCTCTAACTATGTCCTCGAGCTAAGTAGCCACATATAACAGCTCTGGCTAAAATACCCACTACTCTTAAGACCATTAAGACCATTGATCTTCTAAAAGGAAACGACCTGGATGAACTGGGACAGTACTGACATATTCTTCCTCTCGGCATTAAAGAATATTCAGTCTCTGTGTGGCCACAAATTCAATGATCACGTCTTCCCACTGTCTGCATGATTTCACTCAAAAGAACAGACTTGCATAAGAATGCTGTGGGAAGCTTACCTGGGTACTTCCCTCCACGACTGCGCTTGATGAAACAGACGATGAGGAGGATGAGGATGATAAGGGCGATGGCGCACATCAATCCGATGAACCAGCCCTGCGTGGCTATGTCGACCTGGTCTATGTAGGCTGGAGTCATGTCAGAGAGACAAACAAGACGGTGGACAAGAAAGAAGAACGCAGAGAGAGTTAGTATTTATCTGCAGAGGGTTAGGGTCAACCCCCTAACCCATCCCAGAGCGCTCAGCAGACGTCAACAGCTCAGGACCAACATGTCATCGTTTTCCCCAAAAACAACGAGGATGACGCAGTGAACATGGTCCTGTCCATGTCAAGGTGATTGCCTAAAAGTTCACACACTGTGTGATTTCATCTGAAAAATGTACTTTTCCCCAACAGATCACACTTTGTTTCACAGTCACTGTGTAAGCGTGCACGAGGGATTCCTCTGCTCGTTGACAAACTGTACCAACAGCCCAACGAGATCAGCATGTTTACAGGTGTTTGCAGCTTGATTTATCCCAGCTTCATGTCCCATATTTGAGCTGTTTGTTTTAGTCATTAGTCTGAACTCACACTTAATTCAAATGACCAGAAGGATACTGGTCAAAGGTTTGGGAACACCCTGATTTTTCCAGTAATTTATTGCAGTTCATCCAAGTCCAATGAATAGATCGAAAAGGTACAAAGGGAAGTGGTTAAAAACAAACTGAAAACGAATGTACACATACGAAAAGGCCTTTTTCAGGGACAACATGGGTTAACAGGTTAAATCTGCTCTGCAGCGATGGAGGCTGATCAGCCATGAAAGCTGCTGCTACTCATCCCTACACCAACGTTTCTGGATTACTCCCCCCTCTGTCTGCACAAAGCAGTGCTGGGACTGATGTGAGCATCAGCTGAACTCCAGAAAGTGTTG